AGGACCCTAGTGAGGGTGCGTCTCTCTCTCATGAAACAAACCAAGAGAAAAAACACAAAAAGCCAACATGATGTAATGTTTTATATAGCATTTGCTTTTATGTAGGTGCTGTACAAGATCTGGAGTGTTGCAAGTATAAGGAGGATGCACGTATGTTCTGTGCAAATATTGTGCCACTGTAGAAGGCACTTGGGGTCTGTGGGGCTTGGTGTCCTCAGGGGTCCTGGAATAGATCTCCTGCAGAAAACAATGAATGACTGTACTTACTTTGTGTAGTGAGACACCTAGAACCGACTTCCTTGAAAATGTCAAGCATACAAGACTTGAATAAAACTCATGGAAAAATGGAATTAAAGTATGAATTTATTTGGTGAAATGGTATTTGCAATACATATATTATTTTTTCATAATGCACACTTTCTATGTACTTTTCAAAGACCTCTTGGCCAGGACCCTTGCTAGTAACTATGGCTTCCATGTCGTAGGGTAGATTGGACAACTTTGTCCCTAAGTGAAGGGTTGTACCCTTTGGCCAACCTCTCCCAGTCACCTCCAAAACTGTGGTAACCACCATGAGGTGCTCAGAAGAGCTGGTGAGACTGGATCCTCTTCTCCTTGGTGATGATCCAGGACCGTGCAGCCCTGACTAGCCTGTAATTTGGCTTGGCCCTAGGATGGATCCTCTTGGACACCTGGCCATGGGGTGGCTAGTCAAAGAATGGGCAACTCCTGTTGAGAACAGCCAACCAGAACAAACATGATGGCCTTTAGACACATGTGGAAATGCAGTTCCATGAGTGGTCATTTGCAGAGTGATGAAAGCAGTTAATATGTGAATGCACCAGATGCCTATGGTTATCAAAACTGCAGAGCAGTATCAGGTGAGAGGAAGCCACATGTTTATCAGAATTGGCCCCAAAAGAGCAGAAAAACTACATGGTATTAGTTGTCCTCACATTTTCTGCTGAGCAACATCCAAAACCTACTGGCTTTGCATTCCTCCCCTGTCTTCCCCCATCTTCTGCCCTTTTAGAGAATAAACCTGGGACTGTAGCTATCTCTCTCAGATAAATTGGGCTGTCCTGATTCTTATTTTTCTATATTGTATGTCTGTGTGTGCTTATTTTTATGCATATTTTGAATCCACATACAGCCCCCCCCC